AGGAACTGAAAAAGAGAATCAGAAAAACATAGAGAGAAGTGAAAGTGCAAAGAGGAGAAAAAACTGGGGAAGTAAATTGCTTCCTTGATTCTATCTGTCATCTGCCGAACAACATATGAGATTAAAAATGAACAATCAAATGCAATTTCTGTAGGGAGCTAATTTGTGTGATTATGTGCATGGGATTTCTATAAAATGTTGTCATTTGGGTTGGTCTACATAATTAAAAGATGGCCAGCTGGGGGCACTATTGTTCCAGGATAGATCAAACAAGCAGCCCTTTGATTTCTAGTTCCATTAAGTTTGTTTCTACTGTAAGCCCAGTGAATCTATCAGGCCTCTGTTCTCCTTTTCATGTCTCTATCATTTCTGAAGACATGGGACAGATTCTCAGAAGAACTGGTTATGGAGTCCCTCTTGATCAAAAACTAGTTTTCTTTATGCCTGAAACCAGGTCTGATTTTCTAAAGCGTTGTGGTCATAAGTAGTAAGGCAGTTTATATTCAGAAATGCACTATGTGATGATTGTCCATGCTAACCTGGATACATATCAAATCAGAGTCCAGCATAAACCTGGATACATAAGCAGAGGAAATTCAGGAAGAGTATGATAGCACCTTTTCCAACTAACCAATGTTATTAAAAGGCATAAGCTTTTGTGAGCTGCAGCTCCCTTCACCAGATGCATGGAATGGCTGAATTGATATAGGATTTAAATTGGGATTATAAACCAGATTATTTTGTTGTCCAAAACAGCTACTTTGAAATCAGCAATGGGAGGGTCCTGGGAAGGTTTAAATGCTCTGATATTACTTTAAATGCTCTGATATTAATTATGTCCTTGTTCTGAGACCTATATCAAGCTTTAAAATTAAACTCGATTTATTCTTTGTAGGTTTCCTGAATAATGTGGTGTTTACATATCCGTTGTGTAGTTTTATCATGACATCGAGGAAATAGACTTGTTCTGTGGATAGGTAAAAGCTAAGGTTGATGGTGGGGTGGAAGCTATTGAAGTCTTGATTGAATTTGATGATCCTTTTCCATGGATCTCATTGATGAAAATATCATCAATGAATCTCAAGTAAAGGAAGGATTTCAGGGGGTAAGAATTGAGAAAGCATTTTTTTTAGATCAACCGTGAAGATACTGGCATCCTGTGAAGTCATGCATGTGCCACTATCTATACTACATACAGAAAATGTCCACTTCCTTAATGTCACATGAAACCATAATAGACACATAAACACCATGTTATACAGGAAACGTACAGATCACCATGGATACCCACATGCTTCCAGATTCTACCCAGAATACAACACCAAATCAATCTTCCATAGCCAGGTTTTACACTATGCATTTGCTCTGACCCATTTGACAGAGATGCTCAACTGATGGAATTAATCCAGGCATTCAGGAGACAGAACTACCCACCCAACAAGATCAATAGACAAATCAATAGAGCCAAATTGATTCCTAGGGAGGACCAATTAAAAAACTGAGCAACAGAACACTGCTGGCTGTTACCTACATCTCACAGCTCAAGCCACTCAAAGGCATTATTATTAAGTTACAACCCACACTGGACACTTTTTCAGGCACTGGGTGACAGAACCTAACCTGAAACCAGCTCTCACAAGCAACAACAGAACAATGATGCTAGCGTGGGAACCAGCCTTGTAACAAGTCCAGGGGTCTACTTTGTCCTCACATTTACCAACAGCACCATCACAGGCCCCAACAACTTTATATACAAGACTAGAGGCCTTTTAGCCTTCTTCCTCAAATGTGATTTATATCATAATTTGCCAGCAATTGCTTTCTGAATTCTACATATAACAAATGTATGCAAAACAATGAATGGACACAGGTTTGGCATCAGGACTCAAAACAAGGACAATGTAATATCAGCATTTAATGTTCTAAGAGACTCCATTAGAGATGACAAAATATGAATTGTTTTGGACAAAGAAATTCTAGCCCAATTGAGCAAGAGATTGCTGAAGGTAAAAGATTTCAGGCCATCTCAGATTCAACAAACACAATGGGTTTTTCACACATTACTACTGCTAATTGATAAATGTAATCTGGCTCATATGTAATCTACATAACCACCCTGTCCCTTGCCCTTCTCTCCTACCTGATTTATCCCAATTTAAACCCCACATCGGTTTAGCCACTCCATGCATCTGATGAAGTGAGATGCAGTTCCCAAAAGCTTTTAATAAAATGTGAAAAAGAGCTACCAGACTCTGATTTTAGACTATCACAGACTATCCTGACTCTCCCCCTGCAATATAAGTGGGGGAAATATCACATAGAAACAAAAAACTGAGACCAAAGCACAAGCACTGGATTAAATGCTTTCAGGACTTAGGCTCATTCAAAATAAAAGCGTCTCTGACACCAGAATCACTAAAATTGTACTGAAGGTTTTGCACTCAGCAAGGCCACAGGGGAAATAAAAGCAATTCAAGTATCAATGATTAACTTAAGGTCACTACACCAGGCTGAAACTAAAACAAAGGCCCAGCAGAATATCTGCTACTGCTACCAAAGAAAAAGGGCCCAAAAGTACTCCCTTCTGCCATATTGGTCTTCTGCATTTGATCACAATATTTAGCAATAATATCCCCAGAAAGATAGTCAAGGAAATTAATTTGGACACCAAAATTCCAGGGGTATTTGCCTCTAACTATGGAAATGCCTCGGAGAGAATTGGTGGTTTTAATTTTTGGACAACTTTTCAAGGTAGTTACCCTATTCCCAAACATTTATTTGCATTCTGTGGGCCCTTAATTGAGCTAATTCTTTGTACCACAAGTCTGTGGGCCAGACATTTAAAAAGGGCCATCCCATCCTTCCAAGCGTATGCTCAGTGTGAAAATCTCTTCTCGGGGCTAGAACTGGGCTCTTGGTCTATTCATGTCCAAGCCTATTCCTTGTTCCATCCTGTTTCCAAGTTTTACTTTGCTTCAGCAGCTGAAATTATTAACTTATGTTTCTGTTAAGCAGCTGGAAGTCAAAAACTTTCATCAACGTGCTGCATATCAGCCAGAGATATATCAGGGATGCTGATTCTCCTTTTGCTTAACATTTGAAGAAATACAGGGGGGAGGGAGGAGGGAGGAGGGGGAAACATATGATATGCTTAGGGGAGTAAAACCACCAGAAAACAAGGATGGTTGCTGTTCTGGATGCAATCCTCTGCACATTGGATAAAGAAAGTGCACAGATTTGCACTATTGGTGTTTATAAAGAAAATTCAAGCATGCTACCTCTTTTTGTTGTACAGGGAATGCCTGAGAAACCAGATGGCAAACTGCTTGTCCACTCCTTGTTAGTTTCTTCTGTGCGTACACATCTATATGTCCTATCTTTCTGCATCTTTCCTCATCTTTGGATGCTTCTCCCCTCGGGCATCACCTTCAACCAGACTTCTGAAAGGTAGCCACGCAAAATGGGCACCTTTATTTGTGGTTCCCCATTGTTTCAGGATACTGGCCCTGAACTAGGGAAGCTATCAAGGAGTTCTGTCTCCGACTTTCCAGGCCTGGACCAAGCTCTTTCTCTCTTCCCTGCTCATCACCTGCACTATAGTCCCTGTAATTTTAATACTCAGTCCTGCCAGCTATTTTAACGTTAATCATCAAGGATATATTCCTATTTCTGTTCAGATGATCTCTTCCATAGTTCGTGGGGCTATACTAGAGGGCCTATTTATCTGAACTGAATTGTGTTTGATTTTATTGTAGACAGTAAGTACTTTCTCTATGTGGCGCTTAACCGAATTATATATAAAAGTCTTGTTGGCCTGTTTGATACAATAGTACTATGCAACTTGGTCATTCCAACAACTCATTCACACCTTGCTAATTCTGATTAAAACAGTATTTAAAAAAAAACAGTTCAGCTCTTTGTGTCATAGGTTTTCATCTCACTCAAGAATTCTTGGGCAGAATTATCTTGTACTTTATTACTTGTAATTTAAAAGAGAAGCTGAAAGTTTTATGAAATTTATGTTTTGTGGAGTTGATCATGAGTACTTGTGGCAAAACCCAGTTATATATATTCAGCTGTTGTGTAAACTAAATTATACTGTATTAACAGCCTACAGTCTCCCATGCAATTCGTACTGTGATGGGGTTGTTTAAAAAGTGTGAAGGCAAATCGTTTAATTTGGATGTGGGAGAACAGCTCAGAACTCAGTGGATTTGAGCAAATCTCAGGATTAATTCTACATTTGTAAAAATGGGCTCTCATGTAATATATTATTATAAGGCATACTTATTTAATTGGTCTTCATAGTTTTGTAAAAATAATTTATACCACAATATATAAATAATTTCTATTATCACATTAATAATATAATACTGTACTTTTAAGATATGACGAAGACAAAGTCAGGTCCTCTATGCAAGAAAATGTATTGCAGTGTATATCCTTGAAATGCTCATAATACAATTCAGAAAATTAAAATATATATGTGTAAAATGTTTGCATTGTCAGTGCAGAACCAATTATTCAGTGCAACCCTTATTATTACTGTGTGAACAGTATCTTTGCATTTAACTTAGTTGTATAACAAAACAAAAACCAAATCACACAAAAAGCTAGGTAGAAAACACTTTCACCTCAGTGCTGATGTGTATTTACCTGGAAGGAAGTCCCACCAACTATAAGAAACTTTCCCAAATGAACGTGCACTAGAGTTCAAGCTGGCAAAATAAAACTGATACCCAAATGATTAATAAACACAGTAAGTCTGTAATTCTACTCTCAGGCTTGCTTGGAGAAATCATTCCAAAAGCAGAAGAGGATAAGGTTACACACCATCTTCCTCCCACTCCGCTCCACCCAGAAGCTTCTGCTGGAATTCTGCCTAAAGTCTAGATTTAAATGTTATCATCGATTAGCAAAACACAAGAATCGTCACACACTTCCCTATATAGGTGCTATTAAAAAGCTTGCAAGGGTCCAGGCCCAATCGAAACACTTACCAGGATGTGCCATGGGGATTGTGTTATTGCCATGCTTTGCGTAGTTATAGATGACAACAGCTTCCGCGCCCAGAGCAGCCGCACGCTTTATCTTCTCCGTAAAGGTGCAGTTGCCTCTTGCGATCAGGGCAATCCAGGGTGACACAGTGGGGGCAAACCGAGTGTCCCACATGCACGCTTGGAGGTTGGTGGAATTGGAAAGGACCACCAGTCCTCGAGCCTCCATCACAGGAGAATGCACTCCATATGTGCCACACTCACACCTGTTGTTTGTCGAGGTGTTGTTGAAAGGATTGAAATAAAATAAACTCATGTTGGCCTTGACTGGGATAGCCTGTGCAGCACTGAAGAGGCCGGCGAGAATCAGAAAACGCGCAGGGCTGGATTTCCTCCCACACTTCATGGCTTGGTGGTTTAAAAATAATATCCAAGGCACAGAGAAGCGCTCAATTGCCAATAGTCTCCTGCTTCTGTGAGTAATATGAAATTACAATCCCAGGCAGGTAAGCAACACTGCCCCTCCCTGGGTCATTAGATCTTTCATTGCGTCAGCTCAGTTTTCACTTTGCTTATCTCAAAGGAATAAAAGTACCTGATGCTGAAGCCACAGGGTAGGAACTCAGGCAGGTAATTTTCAACCCCGTCACTCATAACTGTTTGGTTTCCACACAACTGCTTTTTAAAAGACATCTTGGCTGAAGGCTCCGCTGAGGTTTTATCACCCTTCCCTGCAAACTTCAGATGCAGATGAGACAAAAACGTCTGGCAAACTACAAAATCACATGTTCCCACCTACATGAACACAAGGAGATTTGGGGGAAAATAGCCAATAATAATTCTGGTACAATTTATCTACAGTAGTGTTATTTGTTTTTATGTTATTTTTGCATGTGTGTGCCTTCGAGTCACTGTTGACTCCTGGCAACTGCCTGGACAAGTCCCTTCAGTTTTCTTGGCAAGATTTCAAAAGTGTTCTGCCATTGCCTCCTTCCTAGGGCTGAGAGGCTGTGACTGGCCACCCAGCTGGCTTTGTGCCTAAGGCAGAACTCACAGTCTCCTGGTTTCTAGCCTGATGCCTTAACCACGACACCAAACTGGCTCTAATTTTATAATCTTGCAAATAGATCTGAGACATTTAAATGAAGAAGCCAACAGATTTATTTATTTATGTTGCCCTTGGCTACCCAGCCTATTTTTTCCTAAAAAAATCAAGATTTTGTTAATATATCACTTATCTGTGTATAAATTGTTAATTTCACTTGTTAATTTCACTTTTGTTTTAAAGCACATTTTAAGTGAAATTTCACCTCAAATGTATGTTATAAAAATACATATCCGATCCATGCTGGGTGGCTCTAGGACCATAAAAGGGATGCTGGTGCACCACACTTTTTTTGCATCCCTGTGTTCGAACACTGAAAGAACAAGCTGGTTCTATCAATCTTTTGCATCTTAATTTTCCCAATATGGGTAATGACCATCAGCATCTCGGACAAATATTCTTTACTCTCTACCCATCAATATAGCGAAATAGTAGTAGGAATCAGAGGAACAAGAATCTATTTGGGCCAAGACACTTATACAAATGTATTTATTCCAACTCCCAACTGGAAGCAATGTATTTAATACATAGTACTCTTCTAGCACTATATACTCTGACTTTATATATTTTTATTCTTTCTTTCAATGCAAAGTCTTTCAGATAACAACACTTGAAAATCAATACATCTAAACAGAACTGAATTGCATAATATTATAATTGTTATAAAAAATTTAAAGCCTGGGAAAAAGAAAAGGATCTTGGCATCAAAAGGACAAAATAGGCATCAGGCGAAACTCACACTTGCAGAAAGAAAGGGGTGTCTATAATGACTGGCTTGGTTGTTATTTCAACACGGGGCAGGAAAGACAGCAGCAAGAAAGACAGCTTTCATGGCAAACTCAGCAGTTCCTCTGCAGTTCTGTCAATAAATTATTGCAATATCAAAGCAATAGTGCCATACAGTATAAAAAAAAAAAAGACTGCTCATTTGTTCCAAGTGAGACGAAAAAGTATACTCACTTCTTCCAAGTCTGAATACAAATACGCATATATTCAACTTCCCTCTTCCGTGGTATTGGACTGCAGCTGTACTGTGCTCATTCCCAGACCACATGATCAGGTTTTACATGTCTGTACTAGACTGGTACTTCTGCATCAAACGCAGTTCATTTCCATTTTATAACAAAAACCAAAATTACTATTTCTGATTTGAGTGTTTTGCTTCCAGCTCATCATCTTTGGAAGAGGCAGCAACTGTATAATGATCAGCTGGCAATGTAATGATGATTCACATTTGACACAGCAAATATGCGGGCTTGATTACAGCAAGGACACTCCTCCACTGCAGCATAGTGGAGGCTCCATAAAAAAGTTCAACACAAGAACTTATCCCCGGTCGCTTTCCTTTATCCTTCGTCAAAGCCTTCTGCAGACCGTTGATGAAAGGCGATTAACAAGGCAACCTTTTGGGGCAATTTTGCTTTTGACAGGCCTATCCTGTACATTGATTAAAGATGTTCACTCCCCACAAGGAACTTTTAGTAAGCATGCCAAATTCAGTTGCCCTGAAAGCAGAGATAAGCAGCAAAAGAGCCACAGTCTTCCTACATACAGTTTTCAGTATCGCAGGGCAGGATCCGGCCATCGGATGCATCGGTTCCTCAGCTTTTGCTACTTTAATCTTAAATAAAAGTTAAGAAGCAACATTTGTACAGCACTTGTCCCCCAAAAAACTGATTTGAGATACAAGTATTGGTCAAAACACCCTCTATAGAATTCAAATACAAAGGGACCAGGAACTTTCCTCAACCACTACTAAATATCCAAGTTGCTTCCTGGATAGAATAGCAGGGGAAAATATTCTCATGCAAGTTTAATCCTCTTCTCAATTTACAATACATTTATGTCAATAATGAACTATGTTTGGTTGACTACGTTGACATCTGTTATTTTATATATTTTCCTAAGAAAGACTTCAGTTTTGTCTTTATCCAGAGAACAGATATCCAGAATGCAAACGACACGTTGGTTCTCCAGTGCAGCTGCTTTTACATCTTCGTCTAGTATGCAAACAGATAATGAACATGTTACACGTTCAGAAAAAGCATTACCATGCACAGTTTACCTAAGATGAATTCCAGAATGGGTATAAACAAGAGCAGGAAAGGAAAAGAATTCCACCCCCAAATACTGTGGCAAGCAATAACAAGACAAAAAAAACCCCAAAAAACAAAAAACAGCCTCCATGCCTAATATGCAAAACAATAATAGCTACAGGTTACTTTTCAAACCATGTGATAGCAAGAGTGTCAGCCATTTGATTTTAAAGAAAATCTGTATATGACAAGAAAAATTAAAAGGAGGATAATGCCATAATTTACAATTCCTAATTATAAAAAAAAGTTAAATAATGAGTCATGAAACAGTCCACCCCACTACTAAAATCCACTGTTTTTATTTTAAAAGAGCATTTCAACTTCTTCCCTTTTCCAGAACTAGTAGGAGTTACTCATGACAGATTTGTTGGCTCCCTGTTTCTCAATATAAAAATCTAAGGAAACAAAGTGATTGGCACCATAAAAATTGCCATCTCTTTCTTGGTCCTACATATATGGAGAGCTTAGTTCATTAAGAAATTCTTAATATATCACAGAGAAAGTTGGCACTGATAGTTTGAAAATGATAATTTGCAAACAACTCACACTGTGAATTACATATTCAAAGCCACTAAAGGCAAACACCTGCAATGAAAATACATTTGCTTAAACAAGTGGTCATTTTATTTAAATTCTTTACAGCTGCCAAGAAAAAATTATTTAAAAACAGAAAAAGAGAGGAAGGGGGGGGAAATTTCAAAAGTATTATTGCTGGATAATAGTGCTGCTACCTCTTCAGAAGAAAACAGATTAATCCATCTAGATTTAAATTATTTTTAACTGCATTAAGGCTAGAAGAGTGCTAGTCAGCAAAACCCTCAGTCTGGCTTTAAATAAAATTGCTTAGAAGACAGCTGTATGGTGGAGATATTATGAACTGAGGTATCAGAATGTAAACCTTAATTTGCAATTGCACTTACTTAGACAAGTGACAACAGCCATATACAAATCATTGTTATCTGGAAGATCCTACCTGAAAGTGAAAGTAACTCAGAAAATCCTTCTTGGTTAATGGTTTCCTGGCAAGATGAAGTACCACTTACATGAGAAAATACTGCATTTTGTGGTGTATCCTTGACTTGAAATAAGTAAGAATCATGCAGGAGCGCAACCTCTATAGCTACGTCATGATTTATGCCTGTTCAAGAGATTGTTACTTTTGTTACTACCAAAAGCTATACAACTATGGGTTAATTAACTATACAACTATCTTCAAGAATCCTGTCATCAAACAAAGCTTTAAGTCCAAGGGTCAAGTCTCACGCTTCATTTCCAAAAGCTACAGACAATTGCCTATTCAATCTTTCCTTGAAAGTATTTAGGAAAAAAAACTGCATTGGTTTGCTGTTCTGCTCATTTTCCCAATGTTTAATTCAAAAGGAAAACAGTGACAATGTCACTCAGTTTAAGCAGACAACTAGTCCTGGGTCATGGTTCAAAATATGAGCATAACTCTATTAAGCATATACAATTCACCAACAATTTCTTTCATTACCTGCCTTCCTTCCTAACTACTACAGTACTTCTTGTGCTGTTTCTATCATCATACTTCTAAACTGAACAACATACATCAACTCATACTAAATTGATAATATTCCGTTTTCCACCTAAAGCTTGGGACAGATCTAGTATGGCACTACAAATCCAGGGACTTTGTTTTTGTTTTGCTTTTGGCATCACATAAGTTTTAGTTTACTCTTGAAATTCCCTATTTTCAAGAATAATTTATTTTACAGCCTCTTCAGGCCTATGGAAAAAGGTTCTTTGGGACTAGCCTACCTTCTTTCAGTTGCTCTAAAAAAAACCCTCATTCCTCTAGAGCAGCAAACATGAATCGTTTATTCAATGCCTTGTAGCGCTGTATGGCATCACCCTTTTTGTTAAGACACAGGCTTGCAAATGTTCAAATTTCTGAGAGCGCCGAACTTAGTAGTTACTTACCAAGAATAGCCACTTCATAGTATTCAAGAGGACAGGCACTTTCAAAGTGATTCATTTCTCCACTCGTTGGGCGTTCCTTTGGCTTAAATTTGGCTGCCTGAAGATTGTATTGTTTCATAAGGAATTCTTTGTGGATGTAATTAAATTTACAAGGGAAACTTTCTGGGAAAACGTTGCTGAAGTTCAAGTGCTGTGTTAAGTTGTCTTTTACAGCTGTCCAGAGAACACTTTCCCAGGAATTGTGGCACATCCTCTGTGTGTGAACTTCTTTAAACCCATCAGCTATTTCTTTGTTACCTGCTAATATAAAGACAGTGAGGTTTTAAATACCTTTAAACACCTCAGCTCCAAAAGCTCCCTTTGACCAGGGAAAGTATACAAAACAGCAGATCAGATGAGCTTCTTTAGCTTATCCAGTGGGAGCTCCTGCACCAGGAGCAGGCTGTTGAAGCTGAAGCTACAGGGGCGAGGAGAAAGACTGAAGTATGTCCAGGAGCTGGGACAGTAGGAAAGCAAGCTCTCCATAATCTCTCCAGAGTTGTAAACCAAAAATAATCAGCTTTGATCCAGTTTCAGATAAACAAGCAGAAGGGCAAAAAAAAATACAACTCTGCTTTCAAAGCCAACCAGTGTTATGTGGGAGCATAATCTGGAGTGTGAGGAGATACCCTCAGTTGTGCCATTAGAAACAGCATTTTTACATGGACTTTTTCTTAACCTACTAGGAATTGTGCCTCTTTTTTATGTCTTTCACTTTCTCCTCTGACATGTAGGATTATTTATTCAATTTATATGATTGGCAATTTCACCATAGCAGCCATAATATGTAATCTATCTGGTCATTTTAAATCAGAACTATACAGCCAGCAGATAAATGCAACACAAATTAACCTTTATCTTATGAAACAGTCCTTCCATAAATAAGTTGTTTCCTCATTTTAATAGCTCCTGACAGAAATCTAGTCACTAGTATGATTGGTCATTATTAAAGACTAAAGTACACACTACAGTTGTACTGTATTACAGTTGTATTAATAGATACTTTTACAACTAGGAGAAACAAATTATTTGATCTTCTATCCAAATAGTTAATTGAATGCATAATATTTTCCTTTCTGCTTTTGATTATTTTTGTACAGCCTCTCATTCATCTTTAGTTTGTATAATAGAATTAATTCCAAACTGAAAAAACCATGAGTTTATTTGACCCAAAGTCCTGCATTAGCTAAAACACCACTAAAAGCTACTGATGTGTTGCCTGAGGTAGATAAAAAGTTATACAGGGCCACGTCATTGGTTCTACTAAAAGCTACTTAAGCTGTGGAACTATATACAAATGCTTTAAATAAATAAATTATACAGGTAGTCCTCACTGAATGACCACTCATTCAGTGACCGTTCAAAGTTACAATTGTGCTGAACAAGGGGTACTTATGATGGGTCCTTGTAATTGTGGCCATCACAGCCTTCCCATAGTCACAATTCAGGCACTCGGCAACCAGCACACAATTATGACATCACAGCATCCCGCGATCAGACAATCGCCATTTCTGACCTTCACTGCCAACTTCTGACAAGCAAAGTCAATGGGGAAGCTGGCAAGAGGTTGCAAATGGTGATCACATGACTGTGGGATGCTGCAACCATACAGGATTCACCTAATGACAGCAGCTGGGACTGCCGCAATTGTTGTAAGTCAGCACAGTCACGCGACATTGCACCTTTTGACTGCATCGCTTAGCAATGGAATTTCTGGTCCCAATCTACTGTCAGTAAGCAAGGACTACCTGTAATATTATACAAAGCATATTTTTCAGTTAACAGTTACACTGATGTTAAGATCTGGATGAAAACTAATTTGTCCTTCAAATTTATCCTCTGTGAATTACTATGTTAAATAGAAGATACTTTCTGAACATATGAAATTTGACATTAAATTGTACTATTGTACAGTTGACATTAAACAGGATTTGATAGCTGACATGTAACAACATTACTTATTCCTAAGGGTCTGGTGATTTCAAAATCTATTCAAATGAAAGGCTACCAAGCCTTAAGATGACATCCCATCAACACTTACCTGGGAGAAGGTCTATAAATGGAACTTTACTTTTATTTGTAAGTCTAAACAGTTGGAATACATGTCACTTTAAATTCAATTTGGAGGCAGAAGTCGATTCAAAATGGAAATATGAACACTAACAGCAATGCAGCAACCTTCAATTGTTGGGTTATACCGACTGTCATGGCATCAGAGTTCCCCTCCTGACCCCAAGGAACCATTGGCTTTTAAAAAATTAACCCTACAGCTTAATTTAGCTGTATTGTGTACTAGATCTGTATACCAGAATAGCATAAGGCAAAGTGAGAGCAACCAATAAGGATCTATAAGATGCATCCTAGATCACACTGCAACATTCATAATAATGAAGTACAACCTTGTGCACCTCATGAGAAAGAAGTTTATATAATTAAAAAGCAAGGCTGAAGTGTTCTGGGCAATGTCATTACTACTTCTCCTTCATTTAGCACCAAGGTGCTAAGCAACATACAAAACTAAAACGTTAGCTAGGCATCAATGTAAAAAAATATGCATCATTAACATATTAATAACATTAAAGATGGAGAAAGCATGCAATTATTATTTTTTTGCTTCCTACACCAGCTTCTTTGAATGCAAAAAGCTAATACTAATATAGCCTTCAGAAACAAAGTACATACTTTCATATGTTTGTGCTGTTTCCATCACTTCTTTACTTTCTTTCTTTGCATGCGAATTATCTTGCAAAAATTTGCGCAACCTTTAAAAATCCAAGCAGATTGTCACTGAGACCAGCAAAACTATTTGACCATGTTATCAATAATTATAATTTTTAATTTATAGAACCCTCAAGTTGACTAGTCTTTCATGTTATGGTCCAAAAAGAAAATATGACACAGCTGATTTTTTTTTTTCTACTTCAAAGGTGATGAACTGATGTGTGTGCACTGCTTATCTGACAAGAACTCAGGAGAAGGGACTATGAAAGGATGGCACAAATGAT